TGTTTGTCTAGGATGCCTAGATTGCGTTCTTTTGCGTATATATACATATACATATAGACACAAAAACGCAGTATTGCAAAAAGACAAGCTTTAGTATTGCTTCTGACCTGAAGAAGAGAGGTTTACTCTCGAAAGCTTGTCTTTTATATATTTTGTTAGTCCAATAAGAAAGGTATCATTGCACATTGCAGCATTTTTGTCTTTTTTGACATCTTGTCTACTGGACTAATACGGAGTGATTTGACTATGTATGCACCTGACCCCCCTCAGAAGTCCACAGGCAACCTTAGAGCCCTGAATAGGAGAAAGCCCAATAATCTTACCTTTGGAGAGAGAATGGAGAAGTACCTCTGCCCACTTTCCCTTCTATACAAGTAATAGATATTTCCAGGTTTCTTTACCACATTGCACGCTGCGTGGTGTAACTCGGCATCTCTCTTGGCATCTTCCAACACCTGCGTACAATGGAGTCAATTGAGTGGGTAAGATTAATTCTAGTATGAGACTGCTTTATAAAATATACAGAGCAAAATCTCCCGGAATCTATGTATGCCGTCTGCTGGCCATACACATATGGATATAACTGTTCAATTTAATGATCGTTTTCATTAAAGATCATATCTGCCAGAAAATCAAATGCAATGTACAGTCATTCAGGGGCTGATTTATAACAGAGAGCGGACACTGCTCTTCACAAGGCACTTCAGTAATTGCACTGTGTCTGCATTCTACATTTAATGCATAAAACACAGAGTGCAGTGCAAAGTACAGAGAGGGCTGCATGTTCTAAGAAGTGCTCTCTGCATGACACCAGGATAGGAGGAGGACAGTCCCATCACATGACTTGTCAGTCATGGCCGTTTTTCTTCTCCTCCTGGCACTTTATTTTTTTCCCAATTCATTAGAACTAATGGGGCTTAACTTGCTCCAGAGCCCCAAAGCAAGCAAAGATAATAGTACAGCATAGTGCTTCACAAGTGTGATTTTTCACTTTGCTTGCTTGCTGGAATTTTTGTGGTTTGTCTTAAAGGGTTATTAAACCCTCGCATGCTTTTGCATATATCTACTGCTGGCATGCAGTAGATATATGCAAAACGATAAAAAAAAACTTTTTCAAAGGGTTAATACCTGTGTCTCCGCCGCCCACTCCCGGCTGAACATCTGAAAATTTCTCGGGCGGCCGCAAAGGATATTGGGCAGTTCAGATGTTCAGCCGGGAGATGAGGAGAGACACAAGGTAAGTCTATGGAGCAGCGTGCACCCGCACAGACTCCGTGGGACATGAGCGAAGAGGAGTCAGCGCTGGATCGAGACCCGCACCAGCGCTGGAGGGACATCTAAAAGCTACACTAAAGAAGATCGGATTAAGAGGCATCATTTAAAGCAGGGGTAGCAAACCTCCGGCCCTCCAGCTGTGGTGGGACTACAAATCCCATGAGGCATTGCAAGATTCTCACAGCCACAGACATGACTCCGGAAGAGATGCATCATGGGATTTGTAGTTTCACCACAGCTGGAGGGCCGGAGGTTTGCTACCCCTGATTTAAAATAGGTCCCATTGGGGGGAGAGGGAAAAAATTAGCCTTTAATATCACTTTAAATGGGCACAGTGGTGTCACAAAGGGGGTGCGGCCCGCACAAGGGTAACACCATTGGAGGGGTGACACCAAAATTACTTACATTCATTTTGGTGTCACCCCCCTCTGAAAAGTCGGGCGCTCGGTCATGGATCGAACGCCCGACAGCATCAGGAGATTGGAGGGGACCCGGCGGCATACCTTATCCCGCCGGGTGACTGTCCCCTCCTCTCTGCCGGCGTCCATCACCAAGATGGCCGCCGGCAGGTATCAGAATACAGTGTCGTCTCGGCGGTGTGACACTCGGTTACCGCTCCGGGTGTCACCCAGCCTCGGGACGCCCCTGAATGGGCAAAAATGACAATCTCTTTAAATACACCGACAGTCCTAAATTGTGGGAACAAGCAATACAATTTCCAGGAGGTATTTACACACACACAGTATCTAAAGTCACTTACATATGTATTTTCAAGAGGCAAATCAGAAAACAAAAAGGTAATACTGTACTTATCTTTGTGTAGTAGTATAACATAGAGTTATGTTTCCTACAGACAGAAACAACACACTCCTTCCTGTAAGCCAGCTACGGTACATCTCGGTACTTACCCTCCGTGCTTGCTCCTGTAACACCCGGATCTGCTCCGCTATTACAGTCAGCTTGTTGCAGGCGTTTGCTCTTATGAAGTCGTCAGCCTGTGGGTGAGAAACACTGAATTCAGCATTAATGAAAACTGCTTTGTGGTATATTATGTGAAGTGACCACATCCATAGCTGCTGAAGGGATTTCAATAATGAAATACCTATTATAAACGAAAACATATGTTTGTGTGCCTATCACATCTAAAGACATATCACAATGTTTAGGGAGTCCCTATCAAGACATGGTACCATGAGATCCAGAGATGTCTGCATGTCTACAGGAACAATGCCACCAGTGCAGATACTCTGTCTAACTTGGAGGACTCTATTGGCGTTTCTCCATAATAGAATTGTAGTGATAACTGGATGGAGCTAGTACACACAGTTTCCTTGGCTTGTGATGCAACTACTTGGATTTGTGTCACATCATGGGTTAATAGAGATAAAAATGTATTCCAATGCAGATCTAGTAGAAGGTTTTACCAAAGACCCAGCACACATTGGGGGGCATTTATCAAAACTAGAGCAGACAGATTCCGGAGCAGTTGCCCATAGCAACCAATCAGCTTCTATCTTCAGTTTGCTCAGGTAAGATTTGAAACCGAGACAGAGAAGCTGATTGGTTGCAGTGCAAATCTGCTCCAGATTTTGTCTGCTCCCGTTCTGATAAATTCCCCCCATTGACTTTTTCATATAACCTTCTACTTAAATCCATTGACTTGCACCCCTGCCCAACTGACCTTATGCAGAGTATTTACAGTATCAGCTGGTTTGTACTTTTCTACCATCAGTTAGGGATCATCTACACTGCAAGGTTTATGAGCATTTAGTAGGCAGTTCTTACCCCTGCCAAATGCCTGTAAAAGCAACGGACCTACTACGGTAGTACATACTAAGCCAAATGGGTCAATTTGCAGATGGGGTCCGGAGAATGCCTATGAGCCATGGCTGCCTATTATTTGCTATGGCCTCTATGGGAGGATTCAGCCATGGGCAGGAAATAATGTGAGCTCTCTCTGACTTGCTGCAGCTTTAATGTACATTGTGAGAGGTTCACAGTGTGCAGTGTGAGCAATTTTAGTACAGGAGGGGAGCCGGTGCAACCATGAAAGTCTGCGTTTCCAAGCTAGCCGGCTCTTAGACCGGTCCATTGAGCATCTCTCCCCCCCCTCCGCTGCAGCGGTCTAGGAGTCCTTAAGTTATCATGTCCAATACAGTGTATTGGATGCGGGGACGGCAAGGAACATACCATCGCTGCAGCAGAGGAGAACACAGGCTGGGGGGAGCCCTGCTGGCTCGGAGGTTTGGGTGAGTACAACTTTTCTATGCAGCCAGGAGCGCACACGTCGGACAGACACCATGGGACACGAGGAGTCTGCGGTGGATCAAAGACCGGCACCAGCGCTGGAGGGACTGTCGGAAACGAGTGGAATGAAGATGATGATCGGATCAAGTGGCATCAAATAGGTAGGTGCTTACAGCAGCACTGGGGGAAAATGCCTTTAATGCCACTTTAATCTCTCAAACTTTTTTTCAATATTGAATCCAGATCTAACAAAATAGACATTGTCCAGCAAAGCATTTCTTTACATATTTGTGGCCAAACACTTACACTTATCATGTATGTGAACAGCTGCTTCCAAGTCTCTCAGCTCGCCTTCCCTAAACTTCCTGTCCAGTACAAGATCAAAAATGACAGACTCCAGCAATTGTTCCTCTACTAGCTTGGAGGAGGGAGAAGAGGGGGGCAGGGTGGAGGGAAGTAGATTGATTTGCTGTGTTTGTGGAGATACACACAGCTTACTAGCACACACAAGTGTGACTGCATAGTACTCTGCTTGAGAAAGTAGTCACTCTAAAACAGGAAGTCAGGACCAGTGCTCAGGGGACCAGATAATTCTGCAGGAAACTGAAACTTTTTGACATCATTGAGCAGCATCCATTGTTAGGCCTGGTTCACACCTGTACGTTTTGTAGCGCGTTCAACGCTCTACGAACGCTCTACAAAACGCTGAAACATGAAAATCCCATTGTTTTCTATGGGTATGGTTCACACCTTGCCGTATTTCAGCCCGTCTGAACGCGCTACAAAACGGCCTACGCCTGAGGCCCCATTCACACCTAGGCGTATTGTAATATGCGCGTCTGTCGCGCGACCGTCACGCGGTTTTTTTACCGCGATTCGCGGTAAAAAGGTCGCGCGACTCCAAAGGCTACTTGGCTGTATCCAAATGGAAAACGCCCTACAAAACGGCCCAAAGTAGTCCCGGGACCTTTTCAGGCGTGGGCCGTTTTGTAGGGCATTAGGGACGGGCGGAAATACGCCTAGGTGGGAACGAGGGCATTGACTACAATGCTATTTATTTTTTTGACCGTTTTGTAGCACGTTCGTCGAGCGTAGGACGCGCTACAAAACGGTCAGGTGTGAATGGGGCCTTAAAGGTACATGAGCTTCCTTGCTGCGTTTTTGTCGCGCATTTCCATTGGGATACAGCCAAGTAGCCCTCCGAAACGTGCGTTTGTCGCGCGTTTTTTTTAACCACGAATCGCGGTAAAAACGCATGTCACGAAACGCGCGGCAAACGCGCATTTTCGATACGCCTAGGTGTGAACAGAGCCTAAGTGATTTAATCAGCATTTCAAATAACTGAAAATCCTTTTGACTTTAATATCACTTTAACTTTATAAATAGGCCCCTAAATTCTTGTTCATGACTTGGACGTTACCCCTCTAGTGGTTGTACAATTACAGATCACGAATTGATGACACTCATTGACAAGCTGACATCCTGGAATCCATCCTAATACTATCACTTTATTTTTTTTTTAAAGTGCGCTCTGACCTTTTGCACCTGGTGGGCCAACTCCACGAGGTTGGAAGGGTCTCCTATGCGATTGGTGTGATAGGTGCTGACCAGCTGGACCCCCGAAGGGTTCACTGTAGTTTCTACCAAGGAAACTGAAACATAAGATCACAGAAGTTTACATGGACAGGTGACAACTTACTGATATATAATTACAAAACTAAGTGCAAGTTAAAAGAAACGTGTTAACCTTTGCAACCAGTTAGATCCCAACTGTCAACTAGATCCCAATAGTCTGGTTCCACTTAAAACAAAAATGAAAGCTCACCCCCACTCAAACATATGTCAGTTTTTGTCAATTACTAGCAAATTGAATTCCGCATTGGTTCCTTGTATGTTTTTGGGACTCTGGCGTTAAGTCCCATCGGAGTTTGCAGTTTGTGCCAACCAATATGGTCACTGCAAGGTCAAATGATGGTGTCACCATGAGGAGCACTTCTTATAACCCCCAACACCTTAGTCATATAGGCATTGCATGTGACATCACATTCTTTTTTACTTATTAAATGTTTATTGTGATTTTTCCAAAGCATAAACAATACAAAGACCGTGGTGGTTTACATCAAGACAAGCGGTGTAAGCTCAAGACTTAATAATAAACGACATGTGTCACTCATTGTAAATATAAAGAAATAATCATAAGCCTTCACCAGACGCACATGGGGGTACGAACATTGACAAAGGGGGGGGCGGGTGAGGAGGGGTGGTTCGGGTGTGGTTTTGCCAGGATCCGCTATAAGAGCATACATCTCACGATGGGTGTTACCGGGTAAGTATGTGTAGTTAGTCAGGTGGTACATTAGGTGCCGTTGGGGATGTTACCAGCAGAGAGGCATATCTGTCAGTTGTTTTGAAGTGTAGCCCGCATGCCCAGGTAGCATAGAAGGTGGTATATGTATCCGTGCTGGAGTGATGGAGTTCCTCCATCAACCTTAGTCTATCTACTCGGGCTAACCATTCTGCAATGGTGGGCATCTGTGGGGATCGCCAATATTTGGGTATGGCTGCATTCAGCAGGTAAGGAGCTAACAATGTCTTGTATGATTTTGTGGACATTGGGGTAAGCTGGAAGAGGCATTGCCAAGGATCCAGGATAGTAGGTATACCGGTGATATCTGTGATAAGGTCAGCAATATCCGTCCAGTATTTCCGCACCTGTGGGCACTCCCACCATATGTGAGCGAAACTGCCCCTCGAGCCACAGGAGCGCCAACAGAGCGGAGGAGTGGACGGGCATATTGCATGCGCTGTAAGAGGCACCATGTACCATCTGGCTAATAATTTGTAATTTACTTCTTGCATATAACTATCTGGTGAGGCCGACAGACATACTTGTAACAGTTTAGTGCGTTGTGAGGTACTAAGGGGCCTCTGAAGGTCCCTTTCCCATTTTTCGATGTATGCTGGGGGCGAGGGGTAATTCAAGTCCCCGATGATCTTATACATGGTTGACAGAGTATGACTCGGTGGTTCAGATGAGCCCAAAAGTTGTTCAAAGGGCAAGAAGTTCGGAGTGTCTCGTAGGGGGCCTGGCAAGGAAGCAATAAAATGTTGAAGCTGACGATGTTTCCAAAAGTCCATAGCGAAGGTCCCCCAGCGTGTCCGCAAGGATTGGATGGATAGGAGGTTGGTTCCCTGGAGTACATGTGACATCACATTCTAAAGCAGTGGTAGCCAAGCCCCCTATCTTTGGTGAAACCACAAGTCCCATCAGGCATTGCAAGACTATGACAGCCACAAGCATGACTTCCAGAGGGAGATGCATGATGGGATTTGTGGTTTCACCACAGCTGGAGGGCCCGAGTTTGGTTACCCCTGTTCTAAAGGGTCTTAGGAAGAGGATTCAGGCTACCAGCAACCATAATATGTTTCATTTTTGAAAGAGTGGTTTTTAAAGGGTAGGTGTACTCTCAGCCAAAGGACACTGGCCCACACTACCTACCTAACCCCATCTAAATTACCTACATAGGCCAGCCACAGCCTACCCAATGCAGCCCCAATGGACGTGTCTGCACAGTGAGAAAGATTTTGTGTGCTAACTGCTATGTAGGCAAGTGGGGGAAGGAGGTTGGGTTGTTTAGGTCAGGAAGCCTAGGCAAGGTGGGTTTTGGCTGCACATATTCAGATTATGAACAATACTGATGGACAATATCACGTTGATATTATCTGGCTCCATTACATGTGTCTTCAATTATCCTTTCAGTAGAGACAATCTCAGCTATCTCCAGAACAATCTTTCAAACATAAAAAAGATTTCCAGGCAGTGCAATTGCAGGGGCTTGGTGCAGACCTAGTTTGGCCAAGCCCACACAAAGCTGTCACTGACACACCGCTCTCCCGGCCCAATCAGTTGCGGCCAGGGCATTCCCTGCACCACAGCTACACAACAGAAAGAGGCAGGGAATGTCCTGGCTGCAACTGATTGGCCAGGAGGAGGGTGCGTCAGTGACAGTTTTGAATGGACTTGGGTGAACATGGTTCACACCAACCTCCCATACATCACTGCCGAGCTCTGTCTTAAGTCTGAGGATTATGTATGGCCAGTTTAATACCAACCAAGTCTTCATCAAATCATTCTTATAAAACACATTGAAACATTGTCAGATATATGACATTGGCAGCCCATTCTGCAAACTTCACATTCTTATTTTACACACCTATGTACACACCTATTAGACAGAGATCTCTCTCTCTCTCCCCCTCCCTCTCCCATCACTCCCCCTCCCTCTCCCATCACTCCCCCTCCCCTCACTCCCCACCCCCCATC